TTGCACCATGCGATGCATGTAATTGCATACGCTTCCGCATTGCATTGGTGTGCGGTGCCTAATTGTTGTAGCACTTTGTACTTGTAAAACAATGGTTATGATAGGGAGTATTGTTAAGGTTTACAACTATTTACTCCACGCTGTTCTCCATACAATTTTATACATCTCCAAAAGTGCATACAGTGCTGAACAATAAATCAATCAATAATGAAATCTTAAAACCTAAATACCATTTACTTAACTGGTTGCTCTTCCAACAATGTCTTCATCTCAAAAAGTGCATACAGTGTTAAATCAGTAAGTGGCTTAAGTGTATAATAAGCGACCAAACAAAACACACTTTGTGGGTTATTCACTCAGCTGCCAAAGCGGAGGGAGCCTAACACTTAAGCCCTGTACTGCTCACTTCACTTGACTTCACTTCGGCTCGGCTAACAGCTTCAGAGCATTCAGCTTAACCCGAAGTGAAGAACACATTTACCTCAGCTGATCCAACATCTGGATCGGCTGAGGCGAGCGTTCGGCAGTTCATTCGCTGCGGTTCGCCCCTATTATCATAGGGTCTGCACAGCAGTGAGTGAATAGCAGATTGCATTCTGCTCGGTTATTATGTTCTATACATACACCTATACAAAAGAGAGAAAAAAACAGCGTGAGGTTCCCCCCCAAAAGCCCACCAACCCGACCGCACCTGTCAAAATGAACACTGACAGGTGCCAGCCGAATGTCAACAGATCGGCGTAGCTTGCGGTGACATCACCGCTAGCTTCGCCGATCTGTTGTCATTCGGCCCCCACCTGTCAAATCGCTATTGAAAGGTTCTGAAAGAGTGACAACAAATGAGCAGAGTCAGCCGTGACATCACAGCTGGCTCCGCCCATTGCCATTCGGCCGCCTATTTGTGTACATTAATTTTATATATGTTGTTCATTTAGACAGGTGCGGTCGGGTCAGTGAACTTTTGGGGGGAACCCCACGCTGTGGCATTTTATTTTTTAAATTTGTTTATATTTTGCGTGGAGAACGCTCTGCTTCTGCAGACAGTTCTACCCCGCTTTGGCTGTGTGTTCGGCTCAGCCAAGCTCTTCGGCTGCTGTAAGGGCTATTGTGAATAGCCTGTACAGCAGACCTTCAGTTTGGTTCAACCGAAGGCTTCTTGCAGCTGAAGCAAGCCAAAGGATTAGCTGAAGGTTCAGCTTAATCCTTCGGCTCGTTAGTGAATAACCCCCTTTGTGTGTTACCTAATCACATTAAGTTCATGCTCAAAAACCGTGTTCATTAAAAGCCTTATACATCTATATCAATATCGTCCACTTTTAGTGAATGAATGTAAAGTGCTCTTCCAATGTGGCCTTATATTTACATTATTATATTTTATATTGCAGTCACTGCAAGTGGACTAGTTTTTACGATATTGATATTTTTTGTAGCCTTTTAATGAACATTGTGTTTTTGAGCACGAACTTAATGTGATTAGGTGACACGCAAAGTGTGATTTGTTTGGTCACTTATTTATTATGCACTTGATTTTTATGCTATTTTACTGATTTATTTAACACTCTGCACTTTCTGAGATGTCAACAGTGTTGTTCACACTTTTTAATAGCGCAGGGAAGGATTAAATTACATGTCAGTTTAGTTGCTGCTTCTCATTGGGGAGATTTCTCTTCACTTCCTCTCCCGAAGATGCAACTGGAAGTAGGATGTCAATCTCTCAAAGTGGGGGAAGTCCCTTCTTAAACCAGGTACACACAATGGGTTTTGGCTGATTTCAGCAGAGATCAGCTGAAATTCGTACAGTTGAGGACACTTCCTTTAGCAGAAGTTGACCATTAGATAGACATTTGGCCAGAAGGAGCTGCAAACTCTAGGTATTCCGACAGTGGACAGCAGCCGAATCAAATAGGGGCAGTGGGAGATTCTGTTCTATTTTCTTCGTTTAGCCTGCAGGTTGAAGAAAATACAGTGGTACCTCGGTTCACGCTTCTGTTTGCGAACAGTTCGGTTCGCGAATAGGAAGTTCAGCAAAATTTTGCTTCCGTTTGCGAACTCCGTATCGGGAGAAATAACACAGCCATAACCATCTTCCCTGCTCTGACACTGGTCGGTGCTTCCTCTAGTCGAGATCGCGGTCTGATCTGATCACAGTTTGATTCGGTTTGCAACCAATTTGGTTCGCAACCAGCATCGTGGAACAAATTAAGTTTGTGAACCGAGGTACCACTGTATATACACGTATACCCTACTTTAGACAGTTGCTACTGAAATAGGTGTCATCTTTGGAAGATTTACCCATGCTTTTTGCCTCTCACACTTGTATTAATTTAATTTCAATTGGAATACATGCTATTTGTTTTCTGCACATCTGTTCGGTTGCTGGATATCACAGGTCCTCTTTTGTCCCTGGCATTGGACAGTTCCTTAAAGGAGAACTATGAAGTGAGGGATTTTCACAATGAAACTTTCGCCTCAATAGATTGGGAAGTGAGCGAACACATATCGTCGCGCGCTCACTTCTCGATCATGTTCCTGCAGAGAGCCGTGACTGTCACTCACAGCTCCCTGCAGGGATTCCCCCCCCTCCCCACTCCGATCCTCCAGCGCTGACTGGCAGAAGGACGGGAGAGGGGCGGGCACAGCTGGCTCTGCCTCTAGATAGGCAGAGCCCGATGTCAATCACGCAGCTGGGTGGATCTCGAAGGTAATGTCAGGATCGGTACCGGCTGCGGCGGTCTCAGTATACCGTGAGCTGTCGCTCGCCATATACTGAGCTTTGAGTCATGGGAGGACGCTAGTTTATGTCCTCCCGTGACCCTTAAGGTGCCCATACACTGCACGATTCTCGTACGAGAATCCTTCAGTGTGAATGAAGATGTGCGACTGTTTCTACTGTACGGCCACACGTCTTTTGTTTAAGGAGCATGCTAGAAAACCAGCCGAAAATCTTACGATTGTCGGACGGTTTAAACGGTGCTCGGGAGACAAATGCCGAACGGGCCGGTGTGTGCACACGCACACTGCCTGTTCAGCATTGCAGTCATTGGAAGCCCGCCCCTCAGGGGGGCGGGTTTGCGATGATCGCACGTACGATCTGCCTGTCCAAGATGGGCAGATCGGACGTTTTTTAAATTGCTTTACAACCATCGCAAGACTAAGGTCTTGCGATGGTTGTAAAGTGTATGGCCACCTTAAGGAGAACCATGGGGAAAATCACTGACCCCATAGTTCTCCTTTAATGTTGCAGTGAGCAGCCCAACATAATGACATGGTGCCACTCTCTGAAGCCTTTTCCTGTGAGCCCAGGGATGCCTATTGATGTACCCCCAGTGGGTGGGGTCCTTGACACCCCGGGATCACAGTAGATGGTGCTTCTCATACAGCCTAGTAGAGAAGCACCATCTAATGGCAGAGAGTGCTTTCTGTATGGTACAGCCAGATATTCATCCATCGTGCAATACTGTCAGTAAGGCGCCTGATTCCCAAATTTTTTCTTAGGCAGGACAATGACTCCAAACATGAAGTCAAAGTTATAAAGAACTGTCTTCAGTGAAAAGGAAAACAAAGAAATATGGTATGGCTCCCACAGAGCCCCGATCTCAACATTATTAAGTTTGGGATTACATGACAAGACAGAAGCATTGAGGCAGCCTAAATCCACAGAGCTGTGCTTGGTGCTCCCAGATGTTTGGAACAACATACCTGCCAAGTCCCTTAAAATAAAAACTTTACCTTTATACCTAGGAGCATTTGTCAAAGGGTGGGCATGTCAACTATTGATTTTCTTTTTTTTTTTTTCTGTTTATGTACTTTGCAGGTTATTGATAAATAAAAAACATTACTATAATCACATGATCGGTTACTATGTTCTAAAAGTTGCATCCTCTCCATGGCTTTAGATATGTAACTTCTAACCCAGAGATGAAACTTGCACTGCAGTGAAGCTAAGGAAATTATTTAGAATGGCATATATTTCAGGCTATCTGCAATATAGCCTTTTTCTAGAAGTGTGCACAAAGGGCACATGAGCATTGAGTTGTTGGTAATTCAGGGAAATGTCTATAGAATTCTGCCATAGTTCTGCAAAAATACAAGGTGGTGCTGATGGGGGATTTATTCTAATTGGGTCCATGTGTCCAATAGAGTAATTTTCTGCACCCTTGAAGATTAATCATTTTAATTAATTTGTTAAATCGGCAATGGACGGATGTGCTACTTTCGGGGTCATAATATTTGTGCCACATTACTTCCATTTGAATGCTGCATGGTATAGTGCAAAGTTTGCACGTGCCTGTCATAGGAAACCTGGCTTGCCCCACTTTTCTAGGTCACAAATTCCTCTCCATCTCATTTCTGATTTCTTTATGATTACGTGACAATATTTTTTGAGTTGTTAAATTTACTTAGATTTTCTGATGCTGCTTTAAGGTTTGCAAGGGCAGCTTCTTGGGTAGCTGCTTTTAGGTTTGCAAGGGCAGCTTCTTCAGTAGCAACTTCCTGATTAAGTTTTTGACCATGTCAAGTTTCTAAACATTGAAAGCTTTATTCCCCTGCAATAGGCCAGGCATGCTCACCTCTTCATTGGTGTATAGGCCTACTGTGCTCCATTCCAGTGCTGCATCCTTGAAAAGCCTGTACTTCAGTCAAAACTTCCAGGAGTGTCAAAGTTTTTGTTGTCGTACCCCCCCACTTCCTCCAATGAGAAGACTCGGTTAATGTAGGGGGTTGGAGGAAGGAGCCAGTGTGCAATGGAGAGGACAACTTTTATTACTTAAATACTTCTGGTGTTGCTACTAAATGGCCAGCAGTTTCCATGAGGTTTGCTTGACAACGAGTGTGGACAGAATCCAAACAGGGTGCTATACATTTATGAAGGTACTGATGGCTGTTTAATATTTTATATAAGGTAATTCCAGGGTAAACTTCCACTTTAAGAATCCACTGTAAGACAAGTAGAAAATCAGTTATTTGAAAATTTACTACTTTTGGTTTCTTTATTTCAGAAACATAATTCAGCACTCAAAAGATACCCTCGATAACTTGCAAAAACAAAATGCTGCTTTTAAACCAGTTCTTGCAGTAATTGAGGTAAGTAGACAGTGACCTGGACCCCAGAAGTTCTAGTATGTGTAAGTCATTCTAACATGGTGAGTGAAAGTAGACACAGGCACCATACACTGGGCCACGAGATGACTTCGTTGGGCCACGAGATGACTCCACGAGATGTTGAAAGGTGATGCGAGGAATCTGACGCTGCACAGTACCAGTCTTGCCACTCTCCGTTCTGCCCTAACATTGACTAGTCGCTGACGGCCACAATTCGCACGTTCAGACCCAGATTTTCGGCTGACAGTCCAGTCTTTAAACACTTTAACAGCTACTCTTGAACATTTAACACATTTTGCTGTTTTGCTGATACTCGTTCCATGGCTTGAGCACCAACAATCATCCCACGTTCAAAGGCTGTTAAATCGCATTGTTTACCCATATCTTCAGAAAAAAATCGCTTCTACTGTCGTAAACAACCTGCTTCCCTATTTATAATGGTCTGGCCCTCTAGCAACTTCAGCGTGAAATTATAGCTAATTTGCCTACAAACTTCAGGTGGTCATAATAATCTGGCCACTCGGTGTGTATATACAAATGCTTGTGTCAAGTAGTTTATTTCTGATCTATCCTCTGATGTTCCGTTTTAGATTAACCCTTTCACTGCCACTGACATGAGATATCCATCTGTGTGAAATAAAAATATATAATTTCAAATCTGGATACGGAACAGGGGTGTGGAATTACTTTCGCCCGACGCCTGGGACAGGCAGTTTTGGGCGCCAGGCGTGTAGTGGTTTTTTTCTACTTGAACCTCCCTGGCGGTATTCCCGAGTGTCTCGGGGTTAATTTTGAACACCAATAGCGGTAACCACGAGCCACACTCGGATTACACAATAGTGTCACCTTGTCCCTACGAGCCCGCGGTGTCCTCTGCTGTGTGTGCCTGGCCGATGCTGGCATCTGACTTTTAGTTATGTTTTCGGCGTCACAGAGGGGGGCGGAGCCGGCGGGAAATTCAAAAGTGAAACATGCAATACACACACAATACAATGTAATCGGCTATGATTACATTACTGTATCAAACCGTTTCACTAGAGCTTTGTCCAGTGCCCTGCCTGCACTTTTACTGTTCTTTCTGTTTGGAAACTTGAACATCCATGGCATCCAAACAGCGTCCCTTTAGGTCAAAAGATAGAAAACAGCAATAGTGATTTTAGAATCACATCACTGTACGGCTGTCCAAAATCCCTTGTAACTAGCCTGATGCTCGCTCTCCTCTAACTTCAACTGTTGGGAAATGGAATTACCCACACAAATCTGACCCCCTCTCCCTTCCCTGCTATACTTGCCTTTCAGCGAACGGTGCTTTCTGCCTGCCAGTACAGGTACCTGTGCCATGTATTCTGAGTTTTGCTCACAAATTGCAAGCACTTGTTGCTCAGCACGGTCACCTGACAGCACTGACCAATGAGAAGTTCTTTTTTTGCTGCTGAATACGGTTTTGCTTAAAACCATTTTTTGTATCAATTTAGACTTTTATAATAATGTATCATTTGAAAAATGGGAATTAAGCATACAGAATACAGAATTCTAAATTCGGAACTCGGCACAAGGAATGTGGAATGTGGCATGCGGAATGTGGCATGCGGAATGTGGCATGCGGAGTTTGGAATACTGAATTCAGATTAGAGATTTGGAATACGGAATTTGTAAGTTACTATATTCCAAATTCCATATTCTAACTTCCAAATTCGTATTCCATATTCCAAATCTCTAATCTGAATTCCGTAATCCATATTCTAAAATATTCCGTATTCCAAATACTATATTCTATTTGGAATATGGAATATAGCATTAAGAATATGGATTACGGAATTCAGATTAGAGATTTGGAATAAGGAATACGGAAATCCGAGTTTTGAATTCGGAATTCAAATTACGTATTCCAAATTGTCAGTTTTATTTTCTATCTCTGTAACAACACTTTTTTTTTTTGGATATTTTTGTGATCTTTGTCCCTTTTTTTTTTTTTTTTTTATTTTTTTTATCTTGTCCTGTAATCTGGTTTCACGATTTACAGGAATTGCGGGAAAATCTCGCTAGAGGGCACACGGCAATAAAAACCTAAAAAATTGAACCATTTTCACTCTTGCCAAAAGCTAAGAAAAGTAACGTTAGTCACTAATACCAGCTCCTATAGTTTTCCCTTTTTATAGATTGACCTCGTTCAGTATTGTTATCCCTAGAAATGCCTTTGGTGTTGTAGCTAATGAATATGAAACTGTGTATGGCCAGCATTGTTTTGTAAAGCAGACTTCCCTCAGCTAGTGGAATATGTATTGCTGCCATCCAGTCTACAGTGGAAGCAGACCTCTACAGAGAGACCACTGCTTCCGTGCAGTGACCAAGGGCCTTTCTTTGCCACCTGCTAGCTGGGGACAAGCTTCTCCATTCAGACTATGGCTGCTTCTAAAGAAAACATTCATTATTCACTATTTTTATTTTTTATTTTAAGGGAAATGGTGAAGATCATACCTTGCAAACAACCAGAAATTATGCACAAGAGGTGAGGTTTAATGCTTTTACATTCTATTGATTTTTATGGGTTCAATTCTGTATCTTTTTGTATTAGATTTAAATGGTTTTATGTAAACCAATAATACATTGAGCCTGATTTACTAATAGCAAACAAATAAGAGCAGGGAGAAATCTCTATAAAGATATTTTGGTACACTTAAGCCCGTGACACACTCCATGTGAAGCCGTGCAGAGCAAAGCAGTCAGTTGCATGCAGTGTGTGCAAGCTGAGTGCAGTCAAATGGCTAAGGATGACATTTTTCGTCTCTGCAAGTTCAGCTATGCGTGCTCTCGCAAGATGACGTGCCGGAGAGAAAATGCCATGACACACTGCCTGCGAAGACAGCACGCCTCTGCTTCGCATGCAGTGTCACAGCCTTTACAGTGTGATGCGCTGACACATGCCCACCCAGCAATCACAATCTCCTTACTGGTCTTCTAAAATTTACACTTGCGTTTTAGTACATAAGTTGTGTTCACAGTTTCCAGTGTTGATAAAACATCCAAATTATTGCTTCTAATCTGCCCTATATTTGCCTGGTATACTTTTATCCATTATGTATAGTGGCTGCCATTGCATGCCTCCTTCTGAAAATGCTAGATGTCTTACTAGTATGTTTCGATCACTGTCCTGGAACGCATGCTGTAGATTTGTATCTATTATTTATTTAGACCTTTCAAGATTTTTATTCTATCTGCAAAAAAAACTGACAGAACAACCAAAATATGTATAAGATTGACAGACAACATAGAGTATATACAGTATATGCTAGATGGATGTGAACAGCTGGATAACTGCAAAATACAAAGCACAGGTGGCGACCAAAAAGAAAAAACGTACAGCTCTAATATATGGATTAGAGAAAAAAACTGCACAATTTACTAATCCTAATGTAATCGTTTACAGGGGGGAATCTTAAGAGTGACAAACACCTGACCTGTTCTCTTGCTAGCATTGCCTCTTCTTATTCCTGTAAAATCTCCTTCTTGCATGGTAAGGCAAGAGGCAGAGTTGGGAGCACAAGAGATGATCCAGCCTGAAGGAATCCGGTGGGCAATTTTAGCACGCAGCACCTACTTAAATATCAGGTTTGGGTGGATGGACATCTAAAAACTTTGCAGTAATAGAGTATTTATTGGAATACAAATTGTATAGCTACAAATAGTTTAAGACCCACAGAGACTTTGTAGTCCTAAAACAGAGTGGGCGAGTGAGAATAAAAGCGAAATGGTTAAAATGCTTTTAACCATTTTAAAAAAACTTTTAAGATATACACAAATGTCTTTGCTTATTGGAAAGCCTTGCGCGGGGCTGATAAGATCCACAAAAGTAAAACATTTACAGAAATTATGAACATAGCTGCCTTCATAATAGCATCAGTGGTTCTGATGGGGCAAGAACTGTACTTATTGCGTTTAGTACATGTCGTCATCTTCAGAATCTGCTAGGTATGTGATGTGTCAGAGCTACTTATATTTTTTCCTGGCATCAGAATGACAGCCATGGAAATTGCATCCTTAAAGAAGAGTGTTATAATGGAAGCCTTCATTATTCTCTAGGAGGTGTCCCTTTTTTTTATTAGCTTTTAGAGTTTAGCTTTAAACAGATTAAATGCATGTAAAGAAACGGTTTTGATCTGCCAAAGCATGTGTATTTTTCTCTGTGCTTTTTGAGCTTCTCTTTCTTGTCACTCTCAACTCCTACAATCAGGATGCTCCTGAAGCCCCTGTTTAGGTTCCTTGTGCTCTTTCTCCTTTCCCCATTTTAAAACCTGACATTTACAGGGTATTTTTTGGGGGGGGGGAGGCGGGGCAGCTCTGAAGATAACCTTTTAACGTTTTTTAACTTTTTTTTTATTTTTACCAGCTTGGTGTAGATGTCCTTTACATTCGTCTAACACAAGGGAGCAGCGAGGAAGAGGTCAGTGTTTGTACTTTCTTGTAAGCCAAACAGCATTGATTTGAAATTTCCCTCCATTTCTTGTCATTTCTTAATCTCAAATGTCAACCTGCTCATGCCAGAATACTGTACTTAAAGGAGAACTATGAGATGAGTGATTTCCACTCGCCTCATAGTTCTAGCCGACCTGTGACAATGAGACTATCGCAGGTCGGCTCAGTAGATCGGGAGGTGAGCGAACACATACCAGTTTCGCTCACCTCTCGATCCTGTCACGGCTCTCTGCCGTGACGGGGAGGGCTGGATTCCCCTCTCCCCGCTCCGATCTGCCAGCGCTGACTGGTGGAACGGACGGGGGAGGGGGCGGGTACAGCTGGCTCTGGGGTGAATACACCCCATGGAAATATTCAAACAGGCAAACATTAGATCTCCATTCAAACAGTGCCTACAGATAAATGGGATATACTTGAATACAAAAAAATATGCAAAAATACTGCATCAGTAGCTGTATTAGTGTTTGTGTAAATGGTAAGTACCCTTTTGGCCTCAGAAGCCTCAGAAGCTGGCATTGCCCCCTTTAGGAGATACTATTTTTGTAGTTGCTTTGCACAACTCGCCACCAGTCTCTGATATGGACTCAGCCGCTAAATTACTCCACTCGCTTGTTCCCTCTTGTCTCGACTATTGCAACTCCCTCCTCATTGGCCTACCTCCACACAGGCTATCCCCCCCTTCAGTCCATCATGAATGCAGCTGCTAGACTCATTCACCTAACCAACTGCTTAGTGTCTGCAACCCCCCTCTTTCAATCCCTACACTGGCTTCCAGTAGCCCAAAGGATACAATTCAAAATATTAACAATCGCTTATAAAGCCTTCCACAACTTTGGCCCCGGATATATCTCAAACCTTGTCCCACAATATCACCCTAACCGTCCCCTCCGCTCATCCCAAGACCTCCTGCTTTCCAGCTCCCTTGTCAACTCCTCCCATGCTTGCCTCCAGGACTTCACTAGAGTCTCTCCCATCCTCTGGAACTCTTTACCCCAACCTGTCAGTCTATCTCCCACCTTGACTGCCTTTAGACATTCCCTAAAGACTCCTCTTCAGGGAAGCCTATCCCACCTCAACCTAACCACTGAACCATCACGTTCTAAAACAATTCATCCCCTCACAGCTCCCGCTTCATGTATCACTTCTCCCTCCCTTTTTAGATTGTAAGCCCTCAGGGGCAGGGCCCTCAACATCTTTTCTTGAATTGTATTGTGATTGACATTAGTCTTCCCTATATTGTATAGTGCTGTGCAAACTGTTGGTGCTGTATAAATCCTGTATAATAATAATTTGCTAGTGTGCTTCAGAAAAATGTAGTGTTTTAAAGATCCATTTTTGGTTCAGGCAGATGGCCTCCCATTGCCAACAAGTGCTCTTTCATATGATGCTTAATTCATAGTTGACTTGATGACTTAAAGCTCCCAGGCACTGAAAGAGCAAAGTATCTCTAAACCGTAACCTTTCCACAACTCTTGCTTCATATCGCGTATGATATTCTTCTCTTGAAATGCTGTCATCGGTTTGCATCGAACTGCCAGGATGCGATACAGTGCGTTCCAGCACATGACCGATCTGGAACGCACTGTTTATGGTGTGAACAAGCCCTAAAAAAGGTTCTAAGTTTTGGCACCTTACCTGCAATGTCTGGTTCATGGATTTAAAGTGTGTAAATATAGGGGGGTACTTTCTTTTCCATGTGGCAAATCTGTGTTCATTTAGCTTGTGAGAATAAATAAATGTCATTTTATGCATCATTTGTTCAAGTAGATCACCTTTTATTATTTATAGGCACTGTTTGAATATTGAGCATCAACATTTTTAATGGGGTGTATGTACGTTTTCACATGCATGTACTTGCCAGTTAAAGTTATGGGAACCATATTTTTGAGATTTAACAGGGTTCTAGCTCTTTTAAAAATGCATTAAGTTTGGAGTACAATCTCTGGAGCAGCTTTATTTACTGTTCCAGGTTATAGATGAAATCTTAAAACTCAATGAAGATCCTAAAGTCCATGGAGTTGTCCTTCATTTGGCTGAACCTAGCCTCAGAGTACTAAATGCATTGACACCGGACAAAGATGTGGATGGGTAAGAAATATATACCCCTTTTTGCCAGCTTCACAGTAATGAGACACTATTTGTCATTATGTTTCAGACCCTGTAAACTAGCTGTGGCAGCTCTACAGAGAATTCTTTTTTTTTTTTTTTAATCCGTTTTATTTTATTCAGAGTCACAGATAGCAACTTGGGAAAGATGGTACGCACCAATGCTAAGGAGGGGTTCATATCACCCACTGCTAATGGTATCGTCAGGATCGTAGAACTATTGGGTAAGTAGTATATTAAAGCAGAGCACTGCAACACATAATTGAATTTTTTTCCCGTTTTTTCACCATGAATGATTTTAACCCTCCGGTCCCCTCTCCTCTGCAAGAATGCGGAAGTGTTGTATAATACATCACTTCCGCATTCTTGTGTCACTCTCCAGCTTCAGAAGCTGATGTAGCAGATCTGTGCTTCATCAGCTTCTTTTGGGGGGTCCTAGGTGACATTAGGGGTCTGATCAGGTTGCATGACGGAATAAACGTCAGTCAAAGTACCGCAGCGCTGAACACTGAAAAATGGCCTGGCCAGGAAGGGGGTCTAAACACCTGGTCTTGAAGTGGTTAAATGAAGTTACATCAATGGTTCCATTGTTTGGCAAACCTTTTAAATTTTTTTCCATTTTAAAAATGTTAAAATATCTTAGTCTTTAAAATGTTTTATGTTTTAAAGACTACCTGCCCAAAGCAATCAAGGTACATACAGTAAACTCCCCATTATCCAGCATTCAAGCAACTGGCAATATTAAGCAACAAATGGGGCTAAACAATGGGGGAACAACAGCCAGCCTGCTATTGGCTATTTAAAAATGCAATAGCAGGCTGGCTATTGTGCACGCCCACTGAGCAGAGGAGCGGACCTGAGTCAGCACTTTCTCAGGTTCTCGCCTCGGTGTGTGCGGTTTCAATAGCCCGTCTTGTATTGTAATTTGAAATGGCCAATTGCAGGCTGGCTAATAAACCCCCTGCCCGCTGAGCAGAGTAGCGGACCTGAGAGAACTTTCTCTCATCCCAATACCGGAAACTTCTGGTATCAGGAAGCCAGGCGGCAAGTAATTACATGCCGCCCGGTTTTCTGATTGGCCTGGAAGCCATCTCCATGCTTCCTTGTCAACAGGGAGCATGAAGATGGCTTCCCCGCCAATCAGGAAGCCGGGGTGCTGGTAAAAACTCGCCCTCCGGTCTTCCTGATTTGGCCGGGAAGCCGGCTCCATGCTCCCTCGTCACCTGCTGACGAGGTAGCATGGATTCGGCTTCACGGCAAGCCGGGTAAGGAGTCATTGCCTGCCCCCCGGCTTCCTGATTGGCCAGGAAGCCGGCTCCCTGGTGACGAGAGAGCATGGAGGGGGCTTCTTGGCCATTCAGGAAGCAGGGCAGGGTGTAATGACTTGCCGCCCTACTTCCTGATACCAGAAGTTCTTGCATCGGGAGCATTTGGGCGAGTACGAGTACTCCCCTAAATACTCTGTATCGGCACCGATACTAGTATTGGTGCATCCCCAGTACTAACAAATCTGTCCAGGCCATTTAAAGTATCTTTTTAGACTAAGCAATATTGTGATCTCTTTCTAAATCTACATTTTAGCTTTACTCAGACATACCTAAGGTATAGATGTATACATATTCCTTTTTATTAACTTATTATATATATTTTTTTTCCTATAGTTAACTCATTTGAGGGGAAGAATGTGTTGATTGTTGGTGCTAGTAGTTCCCTGGAGGCCCCTCTAAACTATCTGCTACAGAAGAAAGGTGCTGTGTCTACATTTAGCTCCTGGCAGTCCCAGCAGCTGCAGAACAAGGTACAATGCTGAGGTTGATGTATAGCAGCTGCTCCTGCCTTTTGCGGAGTCAGTGGCTGTTGTCTATAGTTATTTTAGAAATCTTTACCTAAACTATATAGCTGCTGACCTTGGCATGTTTTACAGGGAATGTCTTATGCCATTTTTACATAATCTCTGCAATTGGTAAATTAAAGAACAACATTACAAAGCACTAGTTGTACTTTATTTTACTGGCAAATTACATAATCGTATAACAACTGTAGAACTTCTTTTTTTTTTTAAATAGATAACCGGTCTGGATTAGGATAGAAAACATTAGCTCATGTTGCAATACGTGTTGTAGGTACAATTTTTCATTCAATATATTCAGTATTTTCTGTACCTCATGGAAGGCAATTCCCACTGATTCTTGCAGATTCAAAGGCAACATTAAAAATATACAAATTCTTTAAAACACACTTGGAGAATGCCTTAGGCCTCATGCACACTACATTGAAAACACAAGTTCCGATGCACTTGGAACTTTTTTCTAAAAACACCTGGACACTCTCTCTCCTCTCTTCTCTCCCCCTTGTTCAACTATCTAATTTCTTGCTGCCGTTCAATACAGGAGTGAGCTTGGAGCTGTGAATACTTTTACTACTTTGAGGATCTACAGCTGAGTCATGTATATAGATAAATTTTTATTAAATGTTGCCGTACTTAAATGCATTTTCAAGGTTTAACTCCTGTTTAGAGTCACTTTAAACTGATGGAGGCAGATTCCTGTTTGATTGTGAAGGGTAATTGTACATTGCTTTCCAGTTTAAAAAAGAAGGTAATGGGAGGGAAGGGGGAGAAAATGGCAAGAGGATGGATGCAAGGGGTAGAAAAATCTACAGTCCAACAAATGTCTTGTATAACAGACCCTAACTTGTAACCGCAAAAGATGGATATCACTTAACCATTGTAGCCATGAGCCCTTGAGTGTTTTTTTTTATTTTTTTTATTAGGCCATAGTGGTGTATCTAAGGAATGCAGGGTTGCAAGGCAGAATTCCACCCAAAGAGAGCCTTAGGTTCTTGATGTACTTCCTAGCACGTAATCTGCCTAAAAAATAAGAGTTATGTTCTGTTTGAACTGAGTGATCACCATCCTAATGAGTTGCAGACCTGATTCTCAGACTGCATCATCTTGCCAGTGCCACTAGACTTGAACCTAGCTCTAAACATATGCAGTATACAACGATGGGATGCTTTGCCTACAAACAGATTTGCAAGGAAATATGAGGTGAACCAAAGCATGTTTTAGGCCCCATTCACACTAAGCGACACTTACCTCGAGTGGATCCGCACGGCCGGCATAGCGCGACTGTTCGGGGTGACGGTCCGGCGACCATCTCCGACGGGGCTGCATTCAAAATAGAAAAATCGTGCGCCATCCGCGGGAAAAAGGGTCCTGCACAAGCGACGGGCGACATGGAGCTGTACAATAGAACAGCTTCATTGAAAATCATTGGACGCCGACTTCTCGCGGCAAATGTGCACCATATCGCGGTGGAAATCGCGCAATTAAACGCCCAGTGTGAATGGACACTTAGGAGTAAAGAATTGTGCAATTGTTTTTTTCTTTTTAACTCTGACCTGTAAGTTTTGAGGTCTGGATATAAGACATTGGATCTTGAATTTATTCTAGCTCACAATCTGTTAATTGCATCTGGTTAATAGAGCGCAATTACTCTGGTTACGCAGCTGTCCTCTACCAGGGGCCTCAGGGGGAATCCTATGGTGATGAAAGTAATGATGGCACCACTGGTCTTCGAGGCTTTTAATTTATAGGCAGGACAATATGGATTAAAACAGCCATAGTTTTTCAGTGGTTGCAGAAGGGTTCCCTTTAACAGCACTACAATAAAACAAGGAAGATAACATTTGAAATATGCATATAAAACAGAAATAACTAGTTAAACTATATAGGTTCATGATTAAACAATAAAAGTAAAGAAAAACTAAACTATGGTTCTGGCAGGATGTGAGGATAAAGATTTTCATCCTGTTTAAAATCAGACCACTATAAACTCAAACCAAGTTAAAAAGTTGTCACCTGCAATCTAATCTTATACATACTACTTGTTCATAGAAAGGTAAATGTTTTGGAGCAGTTTATTGCTAAGACATAGGTGTTCTTATTCTTGGTGACATCGCATGCCTAATCACTCTCACATTCATGTCATCCTGGCCATGCCAAGATGTTCAAAACATCCAGCCATGATGCTGTTCTCATCTGTCACCAGCAAAGGCACTCTTCCACATGTATGTTTCCATGTTTTCTTATTGCCATGGGGATGAGCTGTGACTTTGATATTAACATCACAGCATGATGGCAACCTTAAACTAAAGAGCAAGGATTGATTTGATATATGTGATGAATCTAAAGATGGATTCCATGAGTAATGATGGATTACTTTCGAATACAAAGCTCATATTCTGAAAAGGGTTCCAAGTAGTTGAGTTAACAGACTGGGGATATAAGCCACCAACAAAATGACCACATTTTGGATCTCACTGCATCATATTTATACGTGGGGGGGAGGGGGGGGGGGGATCAGAATGAAATTTAGAAAATATGTGTGTGCCAAAAAATGTGAGCTGTTCATCCCCAGGAAAACTTGATGCTAATACATCAAGTTTTCCGGGGTAGTGTGGGTGTTTCTTAATTTAAAAAAAAAAAATAATACAAATGTAACCAAGTGTCTGAGTGAAGGATGTATAGATGAACTAGTAAGAGGATTACCTTTTTAAACGCTGCATGCGCAAGGCTGGACTGTGGGCTCATCAAAATCACCCAAAAGAAATGTACATTTGTCTGGTGATATACATTGTAAACCAATCCTGGAATAAACTGAAGTGAACAGGGACAACGTGGATAACAGGCCTTGCCAATTTACTGTTTTTTTTTCTGACATTACAAAAAAACTAGCGTTTGCTAGTATAGGTTAAACTAGACTATTACAAATGTCCTGTCTGTTGTCAGACTAGTCAGTTTAATAAACCTGAAATTCTGTTTATTTCCACTTGGTGGCAGCAGATTCCATGATGTCGGACTGAAATAGTTTTTAGAACTGTACATTCACCTTCCCTTTTTTTTTTTTTCTTTAAATCTCCCCTTTAAATAAACTATCCGATCTCTGCAGACAAAATAGTTTGTCTTACATGCTCGTGAGCATTAGTGATTCATTCTGCTAAAAAGTTGTCTTATGCAGTCTGTTCAGTTTTCTTCTGCAGGACTGCAGAACACCTCCCTCTCTCCTGATATCCATAACATAAAAAGGTTTTCTGTGGACCAGGAGGAAGAACTCAGACAGGGCTAATAACACTGCTTTGTATTTCAGTACAGGAAGTTAGGATCACACTAGATTTCTGGCAGCATCAGCTGGTTTTTTTTTTTTTGTACCGTTTTCATATTTTCCCATGTTTTTGTCTCTTTAAAAAGCACTACGCGTATTAGCGCTACTTAATGTGTTTTTTTTTTTTTGCCCAGGCATTTGAGTATTCCATTTATACTACTAATGTTAGTCTTTCATTTTTACAGCTTGGTGCAGCTAATATTGTTGTTATTGGAAGTACAAAACCTCAGGAGATTCCAGTTAGCTGGATAAAACATGGAACAGTTGTTGTGTTTGCAGGTAAGGAGCCTTATTGTGTCTATAGCGTGCATATCTGTCAACTAATTTAAAAAATTAAAATTAAAGTAGATTGAACAACTTTTCTCCAAGTTGTTGCTTGCAGTTTAAATGAAAGCCTTTTAACGCATAGGAATGCATATGTCTTGAAAATTAGTTTTGCTTCCGTTAAAGGCGAAAGAATTCTGAAAGTCTTTGTCCCATGAACTTGTTAAAAATTTCTCAACACATGATCAATCTAGTCCAGAGTTTGTGGCCTTTGGGTTGCATGAATTGAAAGAAACCTTTCTAAAGTAAGGGGAAACAACACCTTGACAGTAACTAGCGCAGGAGTTCCCATTGGGAGATTCACTCTACTTGACTCATGTTTGGATTGTCACCAGGACAGCATTTGAGTAAATCTTTTCTAAAACCTGGACTCTGACAACAATAAGAACTTGGCAGTGTTTTAAAAGTAGGAAAACATTGTTGGCGTTTTACTTGAAGACCCTATAAAGAGTGCTGTGTTTTCAGATTATGTGGCCTTCGGTGTGACTTATATAATTTTTTGTTTATACATTTAAACATGCATTTTACCACAATACATATATACATTTCTTTAATCTGTGTAATTTCTAATTTGTGACAACTTCTCATTTATAAGCACTAAATACCATAAACATTTTGTGTGCACATTGTTCTCGGAGACTGTGTTGTAATTCCAGGATTTCACTAGATTATTGCATGTTATGTGAAGTCATTTACTTGTAGCATGTAAAATATTTTTGTTTTAGCTCAATTTCAATAAACACATTTCACTTGAAGCTTAGCATATATACCTTTCTTAAAACAATATCTCAGTCCAAGCTAAAGAAAATGTGATCTGTTTTTATTAGCCCTTCTCTCAAACTTTTATTACCCTCGTTAAAATGTTGCATTTTTTAGGGAAAAGCTAATCTTTTTCAAATGCCTCTTTATGCAATTGAACATATTTCCTGAGACCCAGTCTGGCAACTTGCTGACCTGGCAGAAATCTACAGGCAGTGTCCATTCACCACAAAGACTCCGATGTAGTTTTTAACAGGCTTTGCACATTACAAGGATATTTTCTGAGCATTTCTTGAAGGTGAAAGAGCATTATGGAACAATACGCTTCCTATGTGGTGAGCTCTTTACTCTGAGGGCAAAAGTAACACAAAGCATGGGAAAACAAGGCGTGTCTCACAGGGGAATACACCATGCAAGACAAAACGGGAGGGGGGAAACAGTGGAATGTACCAAGGCAAAAAACATAGCAATAAATAACACTCCCTGCCTTCTGTCAGTAGATACAGTATACTAAAAATGTGATTGCATTGCAACAATAAAACATTAACCCCTTTGTGACAGGAGACGTACACTGTACGTCCCGCCACGAAGTGACTATAAGACTGGCCACGTACACTGTATGTGATGAGTTATTTAAGGCTCCGTAATGCCGGTAACCGCTGATTCTCAGCGGTTACCAGTCATTAATGAACGCCTCAGTATTGATGCGTTCATTAATGAAATAGTTAAGCTTTTGTAAAAGCTGCTTTCAGTAATGAATGAAGCCGTTCCATACAAATACGGGATCGCTAAATAGCAATCCTGTATTTGACAGCTGAAGATAGCAGAGGGGTAGCATAGACTGGTCCGAAGTTTGATACATTTCAGGCAAAGAGATGCATTGTATTCCTGTGCCTGAAATGCTTCACTTCTGATCACGATCAAAAACCTTTAGGTTTTTGATCTTTGTTCACACTGAGCGATATCGCTCTCAAATGCTTGGCAATGGGGCAAAGGGTCCTGCTGTCGCGGGTCATGCTTCGCTACAGCAGGACCCTTTTTTGGAGCGGATTTTGCCGCGATTCTAGCTTGCTCAATGCAAGCATTTGCGCAAAATGCAAATCGCGCAACAAACGAGCGATTTGCGCAGTGTGAATGGGGCCTTAAGGTGGCCATACACTTTACAACCCTCGCAAGACTTTTGTCAAGTTCATCCTTCTGAAGTTCTGCTTCCAATTTGAGAGGAAAGAAATATTCTTGCATGATGACGGTGCCAGAAGATGCCATATTTAAAAAAAAAAAAAAAATCTCTTTTTATTCATTTTGCATAGTTTAGTGTACAACATGACACCAACATGGTGCCTAAACAACAACACATTATCAATACATTTCGGCATAACATATGCCAATTCCTACATAATCGCCATAAACAAGAGCCCCGATCAGTCCCCTCCCCCCCGAGATACCCCCCAATGCTCCCAAATCTCCTCCTCGTCCCCTTGGACCCAGTCAGGGCAGTCTAGTCTCCATGCTCTGTGACAGCCTTCCAAGGCCTCCCTACCCTTGACTGACAGCGTCTTGTATATGACTGATAAAGATTTACCGAGCCCCTCAGTGCGTAGTAAGGCCTCCATCCTAGAAACGGAGAGGGTCAGCTCGCCCCCAGGGAACTGCGTACAGAAGGCATGACGCAACTGGAGGTACCTGAAAAAGTGGCTATTTGCCAATGAATGTGTGGTCCGGAGGTCCTCAAATGAGCGTAACTCTCCCCCTTATGTAACATCGCTAATTGTAAGTATTTTCTTAGAAGTCCACACCACAGGGTCCAGAATGGTCGAAAACTGACTAAGTCTAGGATTTCTCCACAATGGTGTGTGTGGGGAGAGAGACTTCCCAGGCTCCACCAACCCGGCCCTCCACTGCCGTCCAAGCCGTCAGCACCGCTCTCATGGAGGGCGTCTGACGTTGCGGAGAGTGTTTGCCCCTATATACCAGATGTCCTAGGGCTTCATATGATCCCACCAAAGCAGCCTCCAATGTGACCGCTGGATTAGAGTCCCGCACCGTGAGCCACCTGTGAGCAACCGTCGGCTGACCTGCCAGAAAATAATAGTAGAAATTAGGGACCGCCAACTCCCCCTCCCCCCACGGAAGTTGAAGAATTGACAATCTGATCCTACGTGACCTTCCATTCCAAAGGAACTCAGACACCAAGGCATCAATCGTTCTAAAAATCCGCTTTGGTAACCACAGTTTACGTAAGGTATACAGGAGCAGAGGAAGCAGTTTCATGTTAACCAGGTGAACCCGACCGATCAGCGCCAGGGGCAGATTTTTCCATACCGACTGCGGGGCCTTAAACTGGGCTATCACAGGGGAGACATTAAGCGCCACAAATTCTGACAGAGTTGGATACAGTCAGACCCAAATACTTAATCCTGGCAACCTGTTGCAACTGGGTAGTAGATGCTATTGAGGCATGATCCAAAGGGTCCAAGGGAAGATATTGTGACTTAGACCAGTTAACAGACAGTCCCGAGCATGAAGCGAATCTCCGTAAAATATCAAGTGACTCTATGAGGGATTGGTGCATGTCAGCCAGAAACAAAAGCATATCATCTGCATATAAAGCCACTTTTTCGTCCAACTTGCCTACTCTAAGACCCCGGATCCTCACGGACTGTCGGATAGCAGATGCAATTGGTTCTATCGCCAATGCAAATAGTCCGGGTGATAACGGGCATCCCTGCCTTGTGCCCCCAAGGATCGGAAAACTTGAGGATAAAATCCCCCCCATTTTTATGGCTGCTCTAGGCTGGCTAAACAATACCGCCACCCACTTACAGAATACAGGGCCAAATCCCAGTTTCCCCAGAACCGCTTGCAAGTACCTCGATTCGAACCGAATCGAAGGCCTTCTCAAGGTCCAGGGAGACTATGGCTCTGGCACCCGGGTTGTCATGAATAATTTGAGTGTGTGTGTACAGTCTTCTAAGATTAATGTCTGTAGACTTTTGGGGAATAAATCCGGTTTGGTCCGGGGCGACAACGCTGGCAATAACCCTGGACAGTCTAGTGGCAAGAATTTTTGTAAGAATCTTAAGATCCATATTAAGAAGTGAAATTGGTCTGTAAGATGAGCATAAAAGCGGGTCTTTATTTGGTTTGGCCAGTAGAACTATGTGCGCTTCATACATTGATTGGGGGAGAGCCTCCGCCTTCCAACAGGCCTCGCACAAGCTCATTAGTCTGGGCACTACATCCTCAGCATATTGTTTGTATTCCGCCGGAAACCCATCTGGGCCCGGGGACTTGTTATTAGGAAATGAACCTATAGCCCCCAACACCTCTCGCTCCGTGAAGGCACCCTCCAAAAACTCTCGATCAGGCCGGGACAATTGTGGCATCTCCACAGAGCCTAAAAGTGTATCCAGGAAAGCGACTTCATATTCAGGTATCTGTCTGTATAGGGTCTCATAGAAAGTGACAAACTCGTGGAGGATATCACTCGGATCAGTTTTCAATGAGCCATCTAAAGTTCGGATACAGGGAATCACGGTCTGGGGCCTCTGTTCTGCTACCAGCATCGCCAATAATTTCCCATTTGTCCCCTTTTTCGTATAGTGCCTCTCTGCCTATTAAGGACCACCTGGGTTGCAGATTCATGGTGTAATAAAAGCTCTCTGCGGACCCCCAGCAACTCCTGAAGTGTATCTGGTGACGGAGCTACCGCATGAGCAGCAGCGGAGTCAGCCTCTCTAGCTTTAAGCTGAGAGGTCGAACCGAGCCACCGATTTAGCATGCTTAATCGCAGATATGTATTCACCTCTAGTGGTGGCCTTTAAATGCATCCCAAACAACAGTTTCAGTGGCTGTATTTTGATTTTATGGACCAGAAGGTAGACGGGTGAGGCCGCAAAGATGCTTCCACCACATCATTAGAGAGCCAGTCCTGCGACAGCCGCCACAATTGCGACTGTCTTCCTCTATTACCCAGGAGACGGACAGAAAGTGGTAAGTGGTCAGATATTCCCCCAGGCAGATATGCGGAGTCTATTACCTGGGCCAGTAGTGCATCATTTGCGAACGCCAAGTCCAACCGAGAAGAAGAACCGGAAACATGCGACAAGTAGGAGTATGCTCTCTCTTCCGGATGTTTCCAGCGCCAGACCTCGGTGAGGCCCGCCGTCTCCGCCCAATCCCTCAACACTGTATTGACCGTCCTGTGGGGGTTGGACGCATCTAGAGAATAATCAATTATGTTATTGAAGTCCCCCGTCACCAGTATCCGGGATGGGGAGTAAGGGGCTAATTTCTGTAAAATGGCATACAATACCGTGCCCTGGAAGGGGGGTGGAATATATACATTTACCAATGCATAGGACTGCGAGTGGTGTTCCAGCAGCACTATCGCATATCTACCTTCAGGGTCAGTTATCACATGGTTAATCACACATGGAAAATTCTTGTGCAGTAATATAGTCACCCCCCTTGCATAAGAGGAGTAGGTGGCATGAAACACTCTCCCTATCCACCTCCTCTGCAAGGCTAAGACCTTACTACCCAACAGGTGGGTTTCCTGCAAAAAACCTGGTGGTTATGAGATTGAAGAAACCGAAGGACCAAGGCCCTTTTAAATCTAGAGTTCAGTCCTCTGACGTTCCAGGAAATTATCTGTAGATCAGCTGCCATGGAAGTGCGGGAAATTCAAGTACCGCTGAGAGTCATGGAGAGTCATGCACGGAGGCTCACCGCTCACCCTGTACTTTGCCGATCTGCGTTTTGTACGCATGGGGAGGACGTCCACCTTCACCGGAGTCTCTACCAGGAGCAGGTGAGTAAGGAACCACCGATGACACCGCTGGAGATCAGGATGGCTGAACGGATGAGAGGAGCTGCAGCTAAGCACGTCCGTTCAGTCTCACATCCCGGCCACCAATTCCTAATAATTTAAAGATCTAGACTTACCAGTCTCTGGCAATCTGAAGTATTGATTCACATGACTATATCCAAGCAGTCCTCTAATGTAGCCTTGACTTCAGTGGGTTCCCATTATTGCCCAACTTAGGAGGGCATTAGGAACGTTGTTGCAACCATTGTGCTGCTGACATGCTTTGTGTACACTCATGATGTCTTTACAAGGCAAAATTATGATTTTGATATTGGGAAGGGGCGGGATTTAGTATGCTAAAAAATTGCTTAGGTGAGATTCAGAAAGTGTGTCTTGTGGTGTAGAGATTTCCTCCTCACTGTAGCCAATTGATTGCATTCAACGACTAAAGGAAGAGAAGTTCACACAATTCTTTCTGTAGGTGCAATAATTAAATTAGAAGCACAAGTTGTTTTTCCTGAACTCTCCTTTGAGCCAGCACACACGTGCAGCATATAGGACATAACCTTTGCCTTTGTCAAATCAGGCAAAAAATTCTGAAGTTGCAAAGGAATGGTTGCTTTGGTCATCTATGACTGCATATATCTTAAATACTTTCTTAGGTTGTCCTTAGGGAAACACCTTAAGACCTATCTTTTCACACGTTTTCCCTTGGTGTCATTCTTCATTGCTCTCCCTGCCATAAGGAGCCTGGCAGGGAGAGCACATATACTTTAAAACGGCTATGGAGGAGAGCAAATGGTATACTGTAACAATACATGGATTTTTACATACATTTGTTCAATGGGTAATACGCTGCACGATGGGTAATACAAAAACGTAGTCTGTAGGCATTCCCCTGCTCTATAAGCAGTTACAGCAGCAGAAATGTCACACCTAGATTTTCAGTTACTTTGTGATCTAATTGATGAGAATACAGTTTTGTGTTTTTATTCTGCTATTGTAATACTACTGTTTTTGACTCTTAAGGTGGTGCTGAAGAGGGCAGTGATGGGTTAGCTGGCTTAGCTGTAGGGCCACTGACAGCAGCCCTGAGGATGGAGGTCAGTTTATTAATTTAAGTAAATCCTAGTATCCCATTCTATCAGTTGCTGAAGTGCACTTTTCCTCTTTCAACAGAATTTAGCAAAAAGCAGTACAAGATGGCTTGATGCTCAGAAATATAAGAAGTGGAACCTACGTTGCTTAAAGCTACAACTTCTTTCTCCAGTTCCCAGGTCTGTAGTTTTGCCACATTTAATTTTTCTAAGACTTTCTGATAAAACTCAAATGCCAAAACATTATTTCTCTCCCGTTCATTGAAGGATACAGGCAACAGATCGTAGATCCTGAATGGTAGGGTAATATCGCCACCTGCAGGAGAAGGACGCTAGGCACAAAACTAAAGACCAATCACAGCCTAGGGGCGGCCCCTGCCGGTGGCCAAACCCCCCACCTGCTGACAAGTCTACAGTTTTTTGCCTAGCGTCAGGAGTAAGGAGCTAAAAAATTTTCTCTGGAGACATTTTTTCCCCTTCTTCCGTTTGACTCGATTTCTTCTAGCAAGTGTCCCCAGGGCGACATGCTGGATGACTAGATCCTTGTAGTCTCCCCTGGGTGACCTTCGAGCGCATGCAGACTCTGCCACAGTGGGTCGGCTGCGACATGTGGTCCCCCCCTGACGCCTGTGGGTTCGTCCCGGGGAGTGCATAGGACGGGGTCCGGGCCTGCCTGTCACAGCGCTCCCCTCAGGCTGGTGACGCCGTGGCTACGGTCGGGGGCGTCTGCCTACCGTTTCCCTACTCGTCCTGGATCCTGGTTGTTGAGTCCGGCCTTCGCTCCGTGGGGGTCTGCGGTGGATGTGTCGTGGGGACCCGGAGCTGAGGTAAGCTTTGGTGGCCTCCAGGCGGCTCCGCGGCCGCCATCTTGGATGAGGGCAGGCGCCCTTCCTGCTTCTGGATGCTCAGGCTTCGGCCCGTGGTCATCGTTGGGCTCCTGGATGGGCATCCGAGGGGTCTATGACTCTTGTGGAGCTGCTGTGGCCGTTCCATTCGTTTTGAACGACATCCGCAGCCGTCGCCGCTCGTTCGGTGGCCACGGTCGCTAATTGAGGCCCCGGTCTCATTGCGGCCTCCAAGCGGCTGGATGAGGGCAAATTTGCCCTTTCCCTTTTGCCACTTCCGCCCGGGCTTCCTTCAGCCTCGGGCAGATGGGGAGTGTGTTCCTTTCGGCCCCAGACGCCTTGACGGAAGGACACACAGTGTGCAGCTCTCCTCTGCCTTGCGGAGTCGGACGGCTGGGCTGGGACAAGGCTGCTGGGGGTCGTAAGTAGCGGGGTCCCTGTTTCCATCTCCCTTGCCTGGTGGTCTGCAGTCGGTGGGGTGGTTTTGTGCGTGTGTGCAATGATCGCAGGGATGACGCCCCTACATTGCCTTGTGTGGGATCTGGGCAGCGCTCTGCGGACCCCTCTTGTGCGTCCTGTACGCCTGCGCTGCTTTGCCAGTCGCCCGTGCGTCCCTCTGGTTCTTCAGGGGGGGTGGGTGGTACCGCGGGTACCGCATTGTCCCTGGAGTCCTTTTCCTCTGTCAGGACGGGTTTGTAACGCGCATGGAGCGCGCCTTGACGCAGCGCCCACCTGGAAAGCGTAACCCCTTGTGCTTGGGGGGGGGGGGGGTGGTACCGCATTGTCCCTGGAGTCCTTTTCCTCTGTCATGGACGGGTTTGTAACGCGAATGGAGCGCGCCTTGACGCAGCGCCCACCTGGAAAGCGTGCTTTTACCCTTGCCATCCCCTGCCGTGTCAGGGGAGTCTGAAGAGGAGGGGGAACTTCCCGCGACGTTGCCTCATCCTGATCCGGGTGATTCCTCACATCCTGTTTCGGCCAGTGAGGATGAGGCTGCGTCTACACTCCATGATCCAGGAACGTGAAATGGTCTCCGCGCTGTCAGGGAGACCCTTAAAATTGAGGACGTTGCCAGCACGTCCGCGCTGCCGCACGTGCAGTTTGGGACGCATAAGAGTGGGCGTTCTGCCCTTAATCAAGGCCACGGTTATTCCGGTGGAGGATTCTCCGTCCTTTAAGGACCTTTTCGATAGGAAGGCTGAGGCGCTTTTGTGGTCTCTGTCTCGGGCGCGCTCATGCGTCCCGGTCTTGGCGTCTGCTTTGGTCTCTCAGGCTCTGAGTGGGCTAAGATGTTACATCAGGGGCTTGCGGAGGAGAATGTCTCCCCCGTTTTCGTGGAATTAGCGGGCCAGTTGGTGCAAGGCCTTCGCTATGTCTGCAATTCGGCCTTGCATGCGGCGCCCTTGGTGTCCAAGGTGTCGGCGGTGATACTTCGCCGTTTGCTCTGGCTTGAATGCTGGTCGGCTGATATGGCTTCCAAACAGGCTCTACAGGTGTTGCCTTTTACTGGGGACCGTTTGTTTGGTTCCACCTTGGATGGGATCATTGAGGATCTGGCAGGGGGTAAGAGTACCTTCCTTCCCCAGGCGCGCAAGAGGGAGCAGCGCCGTAGGCCTGGGCCTACTTTCTCCGCTCACAAGCGGCTTTTTCGCCCCCCGCCCTCCGACAAGGGCAGTAAGTTTAACAAGTCCTCCTCTTCCCACTCCTCCAAGCGTCCGTGGCAGCCCGAGTCTGCCAAGCCCGCCAGCAAGCCCCAGTCCGCATGAAAGTCGGGCCCCTACTCTGGTTCCCAGGGTGGGGGGGGCGCCTTCGGCTCTTTGTGGATTTTTGGCTGGCCCACGCTTCCGACTCTTTGTCCTTGGACCGGGAGATTCGGATCTCTCGGGAGGCAAGGACCTCCCTGCGGTGGTGGCTCCAATCTCGGGCCTTGGTGCTGGGGAAGTCTTTGCTTCCCGTGCACTGGACGGTGGGCACCACAGACGCCTGCCTTTGGGGCAGGGTCCTGGGCTCCTTGACCGTGCACGGTCATTGATCGTCGGTGGATCCGGGGGAGTAGTCTCTGCACCCGGAGGTTTTTCGGCAGCTGTGTAGTCGCTGGGGGACGCCGGAGGTGGATCTTCTGGCGTCTTGGTTCAACCGGAAGGTGGACAGGTGTGTGGCCCGGGTCCTGGATCCCTGGGCGGTGCAGTGGATGCCCTGGCGGCTCCTTGGGGTCCTTACGGTCTACTTTACACCTTTCCCCCTCTGTATCTGCTGCCTCGGCTGCTGCGTCGGATCGTGGCCGAGGGCGTCACTGTCATCCTCGTGGCCCCAGGCTGGACTCGGACGTGGTTCAGCTGGTGGTGGACGCCCCGTGGTGTTTGCCTCTGCGCCCCGGTCTTCTGTCCCAGGGACCTGTGTTCCGTCCTTCTTTACAGTCGCTGGCTTTGACTGCGTGGCTGTTGAGAGCCTGGTCCTGAAGGACCGGGGGTTGTCCGATGCGGTTATTTCCACTATGCTCAGAGATCGCAAGCGGTTTCTAGAAAGATTTACCATCGCACGTGGAGGGCCTATTTTGCCTGGTGTGAGGTTGGGGCCCTGTCCCGGCGTTTATTCTCCATCAGCAGAATCCTTGCATTCCTGCAGCGCGGGGTGGCTCGGGCTGGCCTTGAGTACTGTGAAGGGCCAAATCTCTGCCTTGGCGGTGCTTTTCCAGCGGCCTTTGGCGTCTAATGCTCTGGTTCGCACCTTTGTTCAGGGGGTGTCGCGCATTGCTCCCCCTGTCCGCTCGCCTTTGGCTCTGTGGGATCTGAATGTCGTGTTTTCAGTGTTGCAGGAATCCCCGTTTGAACCTCTTCGGGGGATTTCGCTTATGTCTGTCACACAAAGTGGCCTTTTTGGTGGCCGTCACTTCCGTTCGGTGGGTGTCAGCGTAGGCGGTTCTCCGTCATCGGCCGGCGTTCCTGCCGAAGGTTGTGTCGGCATTCCATCTGAATGAGGACATTGTCTTACCTTCCCTGTGTCCGAAGCCGGTCCATAGGAAGGAGCGTGCGCTCCACTGTTTGGATGTGGTTCGCGCTCTTCGTGTTTTTTTGGAAGCTACGGCTTTCTTTTCGCGGGACCGACTCCCTGTTCGTGCTCACGGAGGGTCCTCGTAAGGGTCGGGCCGCGTCGGCGGCTACCATCTCTAGGTGGATACGTACCGTTGTGACTCAGGCGTACGCCGTTAGGGGGCGTGAGCCTCCGTTTCCTGTCATTGCCCATTCTGCTAGGGCTGTTGGGGCTTCCTGGGCTTTCCGCCACGGGGCCTCTGTTTCTCAGGTTTGTAAGGCCGCTACTTGGTCTTCTGTTCACACCTTTGTTAAGTTCTACAAGGTGGACGTGTTAGCATCGACAGATGCTGGTTTGGGGCGCAAAGTGTTGCAGGCGGCGCTTTGAGGGGTCTTTTGGGTGTTTTGTTGTTGCCCATCCCTCAGTGTGTTACTGCTTGGTGACGTCCCTACCATTCAGGATCTACGATCTGTTGCCTGTGTCCTTCAATGAACGGGAGAGAAAATAGGATTTTTGTACTCACCGTAAAATCCTTTTCTCTCCGTTCATTGAAGGACACAGGCCCCGCCCTCTTTATGGGGGGTACACTCCTAACTGCTTGTTACTAACTGGAGACTTGTCAGCAAGTGGGGGGTTTGGCCACCGGCAGGGGCCGCCCCTAGGCTGTGATTGGTCTTTAGTTTTGTGCCTAGCGTCCTTCTCCTGCAGGTGGCGATATTACCCTACCATTCAGGATCTACGATCTGTTGCCGGTGTCCTTCAATGAACGGAGAGAAAAGGATTTTACGGTGAGTACAAAAATCCTTTTTTTCTATTTGAATTATTTTTTTATGCTATGGGGAAGTATTGAAACCACTGCCTTTTTTTGCAGTCAGTGTCTCTGCTGGGGAGCTCTGTTTTGGTCAACAGGAAAAAAAAATTATGGGAAAGTCAAAACGTTACAGCTGTCACCGCAACAAGAATAGAAAGGCAAATCTTCCAAAAGTTTATACTTTTCTAATGCCACCCTTCTGAATTACCAATTGCAGGAAAGGGCACACAGCAAGTATGGCTATAAGGGCTTCGACTTTCCTAATACACCATGATACACAAACTTCTTGGTTATCGGTTCAGAAAAATATTGAAACCATGTCAACACGGCTGCTTTGGCAACTAGTGTAATTGAAAGGAGGGCAACAACCATGCCCTATTATAGTAAAGGGGAACAAAACTAAGGAAGCTGTATCTTAAAACAATGCAGACAAGGGATCTTTTCCCCATTACTGACATACCATGCCTTGTTCTGCACTGTCTCCCGATGTAGTGGTGATCATCTTGGTAAAGGGTAGGATTCTGCTTCTTCATGCCAATGCCTCAAAGACAAGAGGGAACAGCACAATAATGACATCACCAATCTCCTGAGATTGAGCCACAGGGACAGGTCTTACACATTTGACATACATATTCACAAGGATGTGCACAGCCATACAGTGTGCATATTCTTGCAGATGCCTGCACCCAGGAGGAACAGGTGCTGCTTGCTTGTAGCCGCCTGTATATCTTTGACAGGATACGGTTACACGCCGACCCAAACCTGTACGTCCTCATTCACACACAACGCAAGAGCAAAATTGTGTGTGTGTATATGTATGTATGTGTATATGTATGTATATATGTGTGTGTGTGTGTGTGTGTATGTATGTATGTATGTGTATGTATATATATATTACCTTTGTTCAGGGGGTGTCGCGCATTGCTCCCCCTGTCCGCTCGCCTTTGGCTCTGTGGGATCTGAATGTCGTGTTTTCAGTGTTGCAGGAATCCCCGTTTGAACCTCTTCGGGGGATTTCGCTTATGTCTGTCACACAAAGTGGCCTTTTTGGTGGCCGTCACTTCCGTTCGGTGGGTGTCAGCGTAGGCGGTTCTCCGTCATCGGCCGGCGTTCCTGCCGAAGGTTGTGTCGGCATTCCATCTGAATGAGGACATTGTCTTACCTTCCCTGTGTCCGAAGCCGGTCCATAGGAAGGAGCGTGCGCTCCACTGTTTGGATG